TTATATAATACATTACTCTCAAAATACAAGCACCAATTTTGTAAAAAAGTATTGCATCTTAGATAAGATAGAATCGATGCAATGTAAATAGCGCTAATTTTATTATCACTTAATGTAGTAAAAAAAAAAAATACAAAAAAAAAATACAAAAAAATACAAAAAAAAAAAACAAACAAAAAAAACAAGAAAGAAACAAAAAACAAAAACAAAAATTTATCTTTCAACGGTATTTATTAGATATTATTAAAATTTCACTTAAAATGGAAAGAGAATTCATGTCTTATCGATATTAATTAATTGATAATTGAGACATTGGTCGTCTCGATGCTTTACGATAGTAAAATCCTTTTTCAACTGACGACTCGAAAGAATTAAAAAAAAAAACAAAAATTAAAGAGCGAAAGAAAGAAAGAAAAAGCACATTTGTATAAAGGTAACGCGTTATCTTATCAAAGTGATCTGAATTATCGTTGAGGCAGCGTTGCAATAGCGATTCGCTTTTCGTTAGATAGGTAACTCTTGTCAACCACGACATTAAAGCGTCTGATATAAATGAATGGTATAACCCACGCATCGGTGAATTGGCCGCTGAAATAACTTCAACGAGCGATACCGTAATTACTTTAAAAAGTCATAATCCGCAAGGTTCGCGCTCGCGAACTCGTTGCGCCATTGCCATTTATAAACACAATGCCCGATTTTGCCAATTATCTCTTTCAATAAGCGCTCGGTGTAATCCTACGCCGAGAATAATTCCGTCCTCGCACCCGCGCGCGCACATACGATTACCTTAGCACCAATCAAGACCTGCCTTGTCTCCCACACCTATAGAATGCGTTGCGCTACTCATTAATGAAACGGCGGGAGTCACTTGAGCATTCGAAGGCGCGTTCGCGACATTAAATAAATACACGTCACTTTTGCCGACGACGATAATAATGTGTCTCGCAATTACGTAAGCCATATATATATATATATATATATATGTATATGTATATGTTGACCGATAGGTAATCGTCAACGGACATTCATGCCTACGTACTGCTTGGACGCTCTTTTCCATTTCCATAAGCATTTCTCGGTACTCTTCCAAACGGATGTTTGTGCAGCACTTAGCGCCATTTATGGCCGTGAAATGCAGATTTGCCACCGAGATGAGGATTATCATCGGTGAATCCTAATTAACGAACGATATTTTCGAAAAAGGCAGATAGTAGTAGTAAATAGACATGCTTTAACATAAAAAGACATTTGTATATGCATTTTTACATTGGCTGAAAAAGAGGCCAACAGCAGCGTTGACCCCAACTGTAAAAGGAAACCTGTGCGAAGGCATTGTGTGTGCGTGCGTGTGTGTGAGAGAGAGAGAGAGAGAGAGAGAGAGAGAGATAATGTTGCAAATATATCATCATGACTTTTCAAACGAACGAAAAGAATTATTTATAGCAATGGATTACTGCTATTTCTGCAAGACCTTGAAATGACGATACGTCGGGAATTAATTAATTACCCATTTCGACTGTCGTTCGCAATCGTAGACAATTTTATTTCACCCGTAACCGTAACCGCCCACTGATCTCCACGCTGCTGTCATTGCATTATAAAATAATCGAATATCAAAGTTATTTGCGTTTTAAAAAGCCAATTATCATTCGCTATTGTAATTGAATATTTAAAAGCTGAGCATAGCCATTTAACGTTTGAACAGACATTTGTCGGCTAATTTATCCAACTGGATAAGCAATGTTTTCGACTCTGTATTACAAAAATCATTGCGCAAAAGCCTCGTGTAACTCTTAAAATCACGTGTAGTGGGTTTCACAGACTTTAAAAACTTCATTGACATAAGATACTTCCGTTCTCGCTACCGGCCGTAATTATTCGCCATATTCGGCTTCGTGATTACACTCTAAATTATTATTTACTTATTGATTGGTCATTGTCGTGGTTGCTGAAAGACTCGTTCCTTCCCAATCACCCCACCCTCGATCATCCCTCATACCAAAGCATCTACAATTGCTGCGAGTGCTCGTACAGCCGTGGGGGCAAAGCCTAATCGCGACGTATAAATTTTCGATGCTCCCGACGCCGCCACGTGATCTGGCCAGCTCGACAATGCGCAGGCGTCGAGTGCTCATATGCTCATCTCTTTATCGGTGCTTAGCACGTGCCACGGGATGACAGCCGTTCGTTTCGTATCTTATGCGCAACGCTGGAAATATTGCGCGGATTTACATTCCGTAAACACGAACTTTGCCGCTAAGAGCGGCAGCGGCATATTATGTTTACGTCGTTTTTCGCTGGATAGCGCGAGATCTACTTTCGGCGCGACTTGGAATATTTCAGATTCCACGCGAGACGCAGCGCTTACATTACGGCCTTATCGTGCGACCTTACTCTTGAATTTGCAGGGATAAGAGCACTATCGTGTTCGCTCTACTGTTACATCAATTCGTAGCCAATTATATTTTTTATATTTCTTTACTTCATTCTATTTTTTTTTTTTTTTTTTTTTTTTTTTTTTTTTTTTTTTTTTTTGCAATCGTCGAAACCAAGATAACAAATGTAAAGCAGAGTGCGCAATACTTGTAATCGAAGCTGATATTACGATACAGGCGATTGCCAACTCGTGTCGATGCGCCAATAGCCTCGTCGCTATCAAAATTCATCCCGCTATTCCGGACTCTGGTTTCCCAGGTCATTCAAGGACTTCAGGACTTTTTTTTCTATTTCTAGCCAGAACACGTGCATATCATCGGTAGCGGCGATTACGGCGATATTAGACGTTTCTCGGGATCGCGTGAAAATTTTGAGCTGCGAGGGGTGTCGCTCGATAAGAAAAAACATTACTCGCTCCAGGGGGAGAGGAAATGCGTTTCCTTCATTTCGGGACACGAATCCCTCCCCCTCTTGCGAGAGAATATCACTAGGAGCAGCATTGCTCGTAAATTTTTCCTTCTCCCACAAGAGCCCAAGGCGTGCGAGCAGCTGCTTCGTAATACATATCGGCACCCCCTCCCTAATCCCCTCTGACACTCGCTCGCCTGTGTACCGACGACATCCCTCTGACGATTATTAGAGCGGGTAAAGAAAAAAACGTGAAGCGAGAAAAAAGGAGCCTTCGAGTAGTTATGGTGGCGTTGGAATTTTCTTCTACGCTCTAGCGCGCCCTTACTATACATGCACGCGTATTAATTAAAAGAAAACAAGAAGAAGAATAAAAAAAAACAACAAACAAAGAAAAAGACATTAATTATTTGGAAGAGGCTGTTGCTGTATATGGGAACGTTTCCTAAGAGTGCTCGAGGTCGCGCCTAAGGATGATAAAATGCGGCCATTCGCATCGTCGTGCAAATATGCAAAATCAAAACTAATCTCTTCGTGTCTTATGCTTAAAATAAAATAACAAAATAACAATAAAAAAAAAAAATATATATATATAGATCCTGTTAATACTGCGTGTCAAAGAGAGAAAGAAGAAGACTTAGTCAAAGTTCTTTTCGACTTTCCAGCGCGTGCCGCGGCATAATAGTAGCCGACTGACGTCACGATTAACTGCAATTGACATTCGCGCGAAAGAAATTGGTGCCTTTTCCTCCGTCATTTCTCACATATCCAAATATTATACCGTATAATTAAAGGGGGATGAATGGACGGGCCCCGGGGGAGGAGTCGAAAGAAAAATATAGATTAACAAATGGAACTGAGATGTATAGGCCTAGGTATGTGCAGAGTCAGACGACAAATCCCGATGCCGTGATCGCGAGTTACAGATCGAGAATCGAGAATCGAGAATCGAGGCGTTCCAATTGAGGGAGGAGATACTCTAGCGATAGCAGGGGGTTATTGGGGAGATGGGGGGCTTCGTACGATGAAACATCGGAGAAAGTGTCGAGTCGGCCCGGCCAGGCCCGCTGTCGGAATTCGCCACGGCATCATCGCCAGACACTCTTTTACCGGCAACTCGAGAGCCCGTGCGATCGTAATGGGGGTCGAGGACAAGTGCGGGATTTTCGTCAGTAGGGTGGTGGTGCTAGCATCATGCATACCTGACTGTGTCGCAGGTTAGATTTTGGCAGTGGAAGAGAAGGAGGGGAGTCGGAACGAGTGCTGTTATAAAGCGAATCAATGGCGAGTGGGGCCGGACGGCCCTAACGGTACCATTACACCATGACATTGTATACCGATGGATAATCATGTACGGGGGAATTGGGGTGGGGGTGGGGGGGGGGCATCGATAGTTTTTGACGCGTTTGGTGCAGCTATTGCGAATAGCGAATGGAGGGAGATCGATTGGCTTTGCAAATGTTAACGGAGATTTATACGAGAATATCCAGCGTGGGACGATATAGTGGAGCGGATACTATGGTTGGCTCGGGGTGGAGAGCGGGGCCGGGTAGGCCAATGTCCCGGAATTTAAATGCTTTCGTCGGGGCGAAATGTGTTATTATTTAGAATAAGGCGCTCTTTCGGTTGTCGTTGCTTCTTCTTCTTCTACTTCAACTACTACTTCTTCTTCTTCTTCTTTGACACGAAGCTTGTCCCAGATGGTGATTATTTAAACGGGAGAGAGTGGCAGCGAGTCACGACTGCTAAATCCATAATGCAAAGCGCGCGAGGGCTGGATCGGTGAGATGGGAGTAACCGGTTGCTCGAAACTCGGACAAACGAAAAGCAACGAGAGAGAGAGAGAGAGAGAGAGAGAGCAGAGAGAGGAGAGAGAGTAGAGAGACTGAGCAGAGAGCAGAGTGAGCAGAGAAAGAAAGAGAAAGAGTAAGAGCAGAGAGCAGAGAGCAGAGAGCAGAGAGCAGAGAGCAGAGAGCAGAGAGAGAGAGAGAGTACGTGGAGCCTCTGGGAAGGGAAAATACAAAGGCGAGAAAGAGATATACACGAGGCGGCGAACTGGAGCTGTGCCCGAGACGAGCATCGACGATATGAGGCGCCAACGACTGTCGCACTCTCGCTCAAAATCCCGTGAAAATAATGTGCACTTGATGTACCGAGAAACGTAGGCCGTTCCCATGGCTGGCGCCTTTCTCGAGCGGCTGGTGGGCGGACGGGTGGTTTCCCATTTTTCTAGGCTGCTTCTCTTGCACCACTTGAGCACACACGCGCGCACACACACGCACAGTACTCACGAGAGATGGGGTGTGAGTGAAACACCGACGCTCACACACGCGTCAACGGACGTCGAGAAAGCGTACGCGCGCGAGACGATGGAAAGAGGGGTGGGTGGATGGGTGGATGGATGGGAGGAAGAGGGAGAAAGATAGAGAGAGCTAGATAGACGGCACTTGGCACTCGCGGTGGCAGTAACTAGAGGTGGCAATGGGCGAGAGGAAAATAGGTAGTTGAAGGAGAATGAGAATGAGAATGAGGATGAGGATGAGGATGAGGATGAGGATGAGGATGAGGATGAGGATGAGGATGAGGATGAGGAGGAGGAGGAGGAGGAGGA